TGTTTTTCTTTTGTATTAGTGGAGTATTTTTGTCCAGGATTTGTGTGACTATATCTATGGTTATTATAATTGTGATTGTTTGAGAAATTTTAATAGAATACAGAGCAAAATAGTCAGTCAGTTAGTCAGCTCGTGCTCTGAAGAGTGTAACTATGATGCTGTTGTTACTAAGAGCTGCAGCAGGGGGCACAGGTGAGGCTCTTTATTAACCAGGCCCAGAACAGGAAGTGGTTGCCCTTTTTCTTTGTACCATTCAGTCTCACTGCATGCGGTTTTGTTTATACCAACAGCTTATCTGCCGTACCTCTCTGGATCACCCACACCACACCCTTCTTATCATTCTGGCTCTGGTCAATGCCAACCAGGACGAGAGCTTCACCGGCAGCCGGCTGTCCAAGAGTGCCCTGCGCCAGCCCTCCCCGATGGATAAGGTTGGGTACCCGGGACCCTCTACTGCCATTAAGTGTCTTTCCAATTGATCTGTATATAGGGCCTTCGGCACTGAGACTGTTACATGACACTCTGGATGTGTATGGAGTCTAGGCATGTATTTTACGTACAGAAATGTGTTTTGCAGCCCTCTCTTCACAATAAGATGACATGATAAAAGATAAGATACGAAACTGAAATTCCCAAGAGGAGTTTTTACTCTAACATGCCAACCAACATCCGGACCTAAAACTCAAGCCTATCCACTATAACTTACTGCATGGGCACTTAATATTTAAATAACTCTATTATATTTAAGTTAATTCTGTTATGTCTTCCGCTAATTTATTATTTTACTCTATTGTGTGATGCTTTGTTTTGTGTCTTGGAGCAGGCTACCTTTCCATTCCACTGCACGCTCTACCTGTGCGCGTAACAAATAACGAGTACAGGGAAATGTGTTGTTCTGCAACATCATGAAAATAACTCCCAGCAGAATACTACCCACCACATTATTTTAACCTGTTTTCTCTCCTCTTTCCTCTTCCTGTTCCAGGAACGTACCGAGGTGGCCTCCAAGATCATTAATGTGGTCAGGAAGCAAAGGGCAGACCTGGTTCGAGGCACTGAGATCCTCTGTAATGCCTACATCACTCTGGCTTACATGGACGCCAGTCGGCATAAAAATGAGAAGAGTAAGTGACCATGCACAAAGCATTTCGTCAAGACGGTGTCCAGACGCGGGATAAGACCCCGAACGGCATCTGTGCTCTTGGTGTGATACCTCGCCTTGCTTCTATTTACAGAACCCATCCCAATACCATCCGAACAACCTATTACGAAAATAAAGGACCTCGATAATGTCATCATCCCAACAATGGAGATCAAGGTCATTGTTCTCTTGTCTAGTGACATGTCTACATGAGAGAAACCCTGGACTTGAGGAGGCCATTCTGTGGCTTAACTAGTCAGTGGCAGCATTGTCTTATTGGTAATTCTGCTTGCAGGTGGATCCCACAGGTAAGTATGACAACCTGGTGACCATCAAGTCCTTCAAACCTACCTATTGCCTTGTCGGGGGTGTCAACCTGCCTAAAATCATTGACTGCGTGGGCTCGGACGGAAAGAGAAGACGGCAACTGGTTAAGGTGAGCCCACCGGAGAGATTTTGCCAATTTTTTTGGTTCTCTCTCCTGCTATTCAGATTGCTTAGTACTCCATGCTTGGTCAGGTGCATCACATGGGTGAATGAGCATGACATTTGATGGACATGTATCAGTAGGTGTCCATTGATCTTTCTAAGAAAAGGGTTTGCGATAAGTACAGGGATTTTTCTTTTCTTTCAGAACATTCCAGATGTTAATTATTAACATGGTGTTGCAAGCATAACAAACAGCATGGCTGGAAGCTTTTCATTGACAGATGCATGTCAAACAGGCACTTTTTCTTGGCTGAAAGGAAGGCACATGCTTCTTTTATTCAATAGTTAATGATTACCGTGAAAAGGAGAACTTTAGTTTCCAAATCTTACATGGTGTAGCGAGTTACGTAATACAGTATTGTTGACATGTAACAGTTCCCTCCTAAATTCCATGTAATAAAGTGGCAAGTTAGATTTTAGATGCAGTCCCCTTCTGTCAAATACACGGGACTTGCCGCTTTGAGTGACCTCACCGCCGGTGTCCCATTTGTTCACCTTTCCAGGGCCAGGATGACCTCAGACAGGATGCTGTCATGCAGCAGGTCTTCCAGATGTGCTCCATGCTTCTCCAGCGCAATGTGGAGACTCGCAAGAGAAAACTCAACATTCGCCGGTACAAGGTAACCATTAGACATGCCTTTGGTAGTAATCAAAACACTCATTCATTTTTTTTTATCCAGCCTTATGGGTGATTTGTGCCATGGGTTGGATTAGACGACAATTATTGGCTTTTGCGTGGCACAGAACCAGAGATTTTTTTATTATTATTTGCTGAATTGTAGATCTTTAATTGAGTCCCAATCTCCATTTCCAGGTGGTACCCTTCTCCCAGCGCAGTGGGGTGCTGGAATGGTGTTCAGGCACCATGCCCATAGGGGAGTTCCTGGTCGATGCCCAGAAGGGTGCCCACAAACGCTTCCGGCCTCAGGATTGGACAAGCTTTGCCTGCAGGAAAGTGATGATGGTACGAGCTAGGAGCAGGCTTTATATGGCTATGACCAGGAATGAGGTCTCATCTCTCGGACCCACATGCACAGTCTGATTATTTATTTACTTGTTTATTTTCCCCCAACTATTTATAGGAATCTCAGAGAAAAGGGTTTGATGAAAAGGTTCAGGCTTTCAATGAGGTGTGCCAGAATTTCCGTCCCGTCTTCCGGTACTTCTGCGTGGAGCGATTCTTGGACCCGGCGGTTTGGCTGGAGAAACGGTTGGCGTATACCCGCAGTGTGGCTACCTGTTCCATCGGTAACGGCAACATTCTTCCTGCAGTGCATATCCGTCATGATTCTCTATACCAGAACTGAGAATACAACAAACTCATTGTGTGACTTTTGCATAGAATATTTTGTGTGTTTACTGCTTTTCACGATATAACGTGGCAGTTGGAAATTGTTCATCCTTCTGGCCAATTTCACCTTTTCCCAGTGGGCTACATTGTTGGACTTGGAGACAGGCACATCCAGAACATTCTGATTGATGAAGAGACAGCTGAGTTGGTGCACATTGATTTAGGTAAGAAGCTGGTAGCCAGGTATATCCAACCAAGTTCCTACATTGTCACCGAATTATTTTTGAGGCTCCGTTCCATTTTCTAGGTGTTGCCTTTGAACAGGGCAAAGTTCTGCCCACGCCGGAGACCGTGCCCTTTAGGTTATCCAGGGATATCGTTGACGGAATGGGAATCACAGGCGTTGAAGGGGTTTTTAGAAGGTGAGTGCTACAGTCCAAGAAGGTGACTCGAATGTTTCAGTAGCTCATTTCTATGCAAGTGTTTGTACTCTCCCTCCAGGTGCTGTGAGAAGACCATGGAGGTTATGAGACACTCCCAAGAGGCCTTGCTGACAATAGTTGAGGTATGGAGATTTTTTTATTTTTGTTGACAATACCTGAATACCCCTAAACCTTGATCAGGCTCTTCAAATTGGATTGTAGAAGGAATTTTATAGTTTGTGGAACCCATGTCCCCAAGGTGCTGCTGTACGACCCGCTCTTCGACTGGACGATGAACCCCCTAAAGGCCTTCTACCTGCAGCAGCAGCATGAAGAGGCTGAGGTGAATGCCACACTCAACTCCACCCTGGGAGGAGAGGACCTAGAGGCCCATCGCAAATCCAGGTGAGCCTTTGTCATTTTGCAGTAGAAATCGTCCAGGCTGGAATCAGGACTCTGTAAAGAGCCAAGGTGATTGCATAAACCAGTGTGACGCCTTATCTCTTTCTCCAGTGGTGATGCCCAGAGCTTCAACAAGGTTGCTGAACGCGTCCTGCTCCGGCTCCAGGAGAAGCTGAAAGGTGTGGAGGAGGGGACGGTGCTCAGTGTGGGGGGCCAGGTCAACCTCCTCATCCAGCAAGCTATGGACCCAAAGAACCTCAGTCGCCTCTTTCCTGGCTGGCAGGCTTGGGTCTGAAGGAGGCATATCTGATATCTTCAGGGTCTGCTCTGTATCCATGTGGGATAGGAATCTCCTCTATGTACCTGCAGAGCAATTTATCTGTTTTATTCTACGTTTTCATTTTTTTCACCACTGTACTTCTGGTTTTGCATCATACAAACAAATCTTATCATAATACTGAAATTTCAAAAGGAAAGCCTTCTCAAACTTCTGACATTATATGTACATGACTCAGTCTGAAACACCTGATATCTTTCTTTTGAAATTCCTTAGATCCGTCCTGTATTTTGCTGCTCTACATACTTGATGTTGAAATTTTTTGAACCCAGAAATCTTTTGATTTGATACGTTGCAGAGTGTATAAATGTATACTAGCAAAGTCTATCTTTTTAATGTTTGTCCTACTCTTTCACCTTTTAAGTTCTGTTAAATCATTTCGTTGCTTTCTTTAACGTTCTTTTGTTTTATATGAAGTATGAAATGATACTGAAGAGAAGACCGCTTATGTCTATTTTAATGGTCCTGCGGAAAAATAAAACGTTTTCAGAAAGGTGCAAACTCGAGAGTTTAACTTATGTGGTGCGGGTGTAATGCGTGTATGTTTGTGTACAAAATATTCACCTTAACGGGCTTGGCGTTTTATGCTGGCTAGGTTTGTGACCCACGATTCTATCACAATTACAGAAAAAAACCTACTATTCACGTTCTAAAATTACTTTTATAACTTTTATCGCTTTAACAGTCATCTTTCCAAGTGATAAAACTGCACATATTTAATTTATCCAGACTAACGTACAATATAATTAATAGTTACTCTTTTTTTATGATATTTCGCTTTCCAAGTATTTTAATTCTAATTAATTTTTAATTTCTACTTCTATTTACGGTAACAAACTATGAACTGCTCTGATTTTGTCTGCTCTGGATGTGACGCAAATCCTGCGTTTGGTATGTTTAGTGAATCCCGACCAGGAAAATAGGCACTACTATACATAAAGACACCGTATAGCAAAGAGGAGTGAAATGGATAGTTAACGTGCCTTTGCCTGTCACAGCGAAGGAGTGGCGTGACACGCCGACTTACCTGCTCCCGAATCCGCCTTAAACTGTGGCTAACGGGGGAGAATGAATGTTGTGACTGGAGAGCAGAAACTAGAGGTGAAGCCCGCTTGAGGTATGGTGCTTATTGCTCTCTCTATAATGTTTAAGCGATACTGTTCTCTACGTAAATTGTGTATTTTATATGGATTCGTACATTTCCTTTATAAGAAAGACTTTACGTCACTGTTCCGCAACTATTTGCGCCATGTTACCCGCTTCTGGACATCGGCGTAGCGGGATGTTTAATTTTACATTTGGACAAATGGCCAACACGTAATTGCGATTTTAAATTGTTTCATGTTATTCGTACTCAATTCTTGTAAACCTCAGCTATCCTCCCGCATGTCTACCAAAACAGCTAATGCATTGCTTGTGTGGACATACAATTTGTTTTTGAGGGCGGTGATCTTCTATCAGTCCACAAGAAATAATGGGAATTAAGATTCAAAGAGTGCTTGTAGCTATTACAAACTAACCTTTGTATTCAATTATTAATACGTAAAATGAAATGAAACCCGCGACATTGTAATTCTTAAGGTATTGTAAGATGGATGACTTTATGAAATGGCATATATATTAATTAACATTGATATTTCTTTCATTTAAGAGTTTTAGTTAAAGCAGATCTCTGCTTTAACCCAGGACACAAAAGATACAATGGCAACCCAAGAGGTACGCTTCTACTTGTTTATGATTTATGACAAATATAATAAATGTAGCATTGCACAAGGAAACCGTTTATTTCCCAAACTGATGTCTGCTAGTCAGTGGAGAACTCTTAAAGTAAATAATTTGTATTTGAACCAAGCTGTTTGTAGTAATACTTGTTCCTTTCCTCTATGAATTTCATATCCACAGAAGCATGGGTACCAGCCTGCTGCTGGTTTGCCACCCCCATACTTCCCACCCGAGTCAGGAGGGTATCCTTCATTTCCCCCGCAACCCACCAATTTCTTTCCCGTTAACACACCCCAAACCATGCCTGCTCCCATCCCTGTAGCTCAGTCATCAAGAACTGCCCGCCGGCGCAAAGGTGATCATCACACTGTATAAACAGGAGGGATTGCTTTTAGCAAGATCATCTTACAAACTGTTACCCGTGTATAGAGCCAAATGTTTCAGTATGGTGGCACGGTGCTCCAGTGGTTTGCATTGTCGATCGGTTCTTGACTCTCTGGCCCAGATCTTCATGTGCTGAGCTTGTATGTCGCCTTGGGGTTTCCTTCGAGACCCAAAAACATGCTATGGTTAATCGCAGTTGCCAAATTGTCCAAACGTCGCCAACGTGTGATAAAAACCTGTTATTTTGATGTTGTGGGGAACATGTTTTTGGACTAAAAAAGGCCAAACGTCTTGTATTTTGTTTGGTTACTTATGCTTAAGGCTAGGGCTGGGTAGGGATTAAGGATGTCATTGTTTGGATTAAGGTTATGTCCACAGGATAATTGGACAGTCCCCACAAATATATGATTACAAACGTGTGTATATGTGTGCCCAGTAAAGAATGGGGAGTTTCTTGGGGAACATGTTGTTCTCAGCTTAGACACCTAAAATTTATTTAGCAAAATGGTTCTCTGTTGCTGTCTTACATTTAGTGACACGGAAAAGATGCTGCTTGTGTATTCTGGCCGTCATCGTCATCTTCTTGGCTGCCACGGCAATCCTGCTGTGGTACTTCCGTAAGTACTTCCTACGAACAATAGACCGATTCGTGTCCCACTCTTCAGTTCTGTGTGGTTGTACTTTCAGATGATTCTCCACTCGTTTTTACCAAGGAAGCTGGTACATTGTGCTCAGCTGCCCACCAAGCAGTAGCTGTATTTTAAGTGTCTGTGCCCTCAGTGTCCAAAACATGTGTCTTCCGTGTGGCCTGTGGTGACGGTTCCTGTATAAGCACCTCCCAGTGGTGTGATGGAGTGGAGGACTGCTCGTCCGGGCAGGATGAAGGCCAATGTGGTTCGTGTCATCGTCATTCTCCCCTTTTCTTTTCTCTTATGAGGCTAGGGGGTCTGGACCTGTCACTCGTGCTGAAGTGTTGCTCATTTGCTTTCCAGCTCGTCTCTATGGTCCTGACTCTGTCCTGCAAGTCTACTCAAGCAGAAGTCATTCATGGGATATGGTCTGTGCAGAGGGATGGGACGATAGCTTTGGGAGAGATGCGTGTCAACAGATTGGATACGATAGGTGTGTTGTAGTGATGTACAGTCAGGTACTCGGGTCGGGGGAGATTTCATCCACATCTTAAATGCTCTGTAATGAAAGGTCTGCTTTTAAAAATTCTAATCTGGTATTGTACACACACAAAGTGACCAAATTGCCCATAGTTGTGTGAGTGATTGGTGTGTGAGTGTGCCCTGCGATGGGTTGGCGCTGTTAAATATTCCTGACTACAAAATAATTTCTACAGTCAAAGAGATTGTGACATTGTATCGAACAACAGCGATGACATTGGAAGAACATATGCAACAACCAGAAACAGCACAGCAGAGACCTAATTGAATAAACGCATTTCAGCTGCGGTCACCTTAAAACATTACACTCTGATCCAGTGCATGCCAACTGCATCCACAATGTGCACTCAAGACACAATTACTACAGAGGGGCAAATTCCAAAAGAATGTAAAGCAAGTTGTTACTATTAGAATGTTTTTTTCCATGCTTTCCTGGTACAAATCTCATTGATCAGGCTCGTAAAATCCATTTTATGTAGGAAACAGATTACGTATACCAGGAAATACACAACAGTATTAAGAACGCGCCAAAGAAAGGGGTACCTTAAGAATTTGTCTCCGCATTCAGTTTTAACCAATCACCAACTTGCAAACAAATAAACAACCAATAAAGGATCACTTTAAACAGTTCAGAAAATAGACAGCCAATAGGGCCCCCCTAATTATTCTGGGCTCCTGCTGGGTTTTCTCTGCCTTGCACCCATAGCTTCTGGGTTAGGTTCCAGACCCCCCCAACCCTGAAGAGGATGTAGTAAGTATTTTCTTGTGAACATGGATAGAGAAGGAGTGCTGTGACAGATGACCTGGCCCCAACAATCCCCTGACCTAAACTCTATAGAGCTGCTTTGGGGTGAATTGGATCAAAGTGTAACAACAAGGTAGCCAACTTGTGCTCAAAACTTGTGGAAACTCCTTCAGGAATGTTGGAGAAGCGTTCCAGGTGGCTACATCTGGACATTGGCTGAAAGAATGGCAAGAATCTGCAATGCTGTCCTCCAAGCACAAGGGGGCTATTCTGAATAGTCCAAAATTAGCTAAAATTTTGAGTTGTTGAACGCTTCTCTTGGTTGTTGCAGTATTTGAAATCTATTACTTCATTGCCAGAAGGCCTTTTGCTATAAGGTGAATATCAGCTAAAATAGAGACAATGCTTTAAAAACAGGTGTATCCACATTTTTAACTGGAACTGTATATAAAGAAAACTGTCAGGATAATGTGATGCTTTTGTTAAAACTATACTTCACAGTGGTTTGTATGTCAGCTCTGGGAACACCAGTCTGAGTGGCAGTCCCAGTAAAGCCTTCTTCAGGTTGCCAGTATCAGGTTTTGCTTCTGTGAAGAACCCTCTACACAAGCTTCTTGTCAGCAAGTGAGTGACTCCAACACTGTTATATAAGCGTTTGACTTTTTCGAATGTTTGAGAACAACAGGACAACGAAAAGATAAAAGAAAAAAACTGTTTGGAAAAACTATTATGTTAAGCAATGGTCTGAAGTGTTAATTGTTTTGTTTACTGTGTTGCACAATACCTCCCTCCTAGTTCGGAAGGTTTGGACAGTTTAAGGGTTTAACAGTTCAGTTTTCAGCATGGTTATATTTTAAAATAGGAGCTTCCAAAATAACTTAAGTCACTCCTTATTACTGCTTATCATTATTATTGGTGCAGTTGTTATAAGTTACTTTGAAACTCATTTACAGTCAACCAGTGAGTAAGGAGTGAGTCAAATCAATTATCAGTTAGTTTTGTCATCTGCATTTCTGAAGGATTACAATAATTTGCAATGTTCATTATCTTGTTGCATGATGAAACGGACCCACAGGTGTAAGCAGAGTTGATTTCTAATAAGTGGCATTTTCTGAATCTAGCATATCCTGCTCGAACAGCCTTGTGGTTACACTGCAGTGCATTAGTAAGTCAATATGCTTATACTATTTTATTAACCAGGGTGGTTTTTCAGGGTCACTGGGAGCTAAATAGCTCTGGCATAGTAAGCCAGTGATAAATCAAATTGATCAATTGATTAAATTGAATGTAATTCCTAATAATCAATCAGCTGTATAATGGGGAGCTCTGTAGAAGCCGTGTTCCACAGAAACTCTGAATATGCACAGATGGTGTGATCCCATCTTCTGAGTTCTCTTGTAGAATGCGGAACGCTAGTGGATCATCCGGGGAACCGCATTGTTGGCGGAACTGTAGCCAGAAAGGGTTCATGGCCCTGGCAGGTCAGCCTCCAGATCAATGGACACCATGTGTGTGGCGGTTCCATCATCACCCCCTACTGGATTGTGACGGCAGCGCACTGCGTTGAAAAGCAAGTCCGGCGAATCCAAAATCCAGTCAATTCTTTGTCATATTGCTGTTTTTTTCACTCACTAATATGTTGTTCTGTGTTAAAGGTATTCAGAGCCAAGTTACTGGACTGTATACGCTGGCTATCTCACCCAGGATGAAATGGCCCTTGCTGATGGGAAGGCGGTATCTGTTGTCGTATCCAATAACTACGACAGTACAACTAAAAATAACGATATCGCTATGATGAAGCTAATGAGTCCTGTGACTTTGTCAGGTGTGCCCTATCTCTCTTTACCTTTTTGATATCATTTTGTGTGATATTGTTGGGTTTGTGGCTTTTCATTATCATGCGTCATGTTTATATCGATAAAGCAGCTTTAAAGATTTTGTCTTAAGTGGCCATACGGAGGGTTCAGCCACTTTCATTTCCGCAAATTTTATAATTTACGATTTGGGAATTTTTGATTGTTCGTATTGTTACAAATTGGCCAATTTTTTTTATTTGCTTCTAAACTCAGTCAGTGACCTTCAAAGCCATGACTCATATGCTAATGAGTTAAGTGTTAAGATTCTGGCCATCTATGTAAAGCTTTTTGTAAGTTACCCTGATACTCATACAAAAGTATGTGAACTTTCTGTACTTGTATTAATATGAACGTCCCCCCCATCCCTTCTGTCTTGCAGATGTGGTCAGGCCTGTGTGCTTGCCTAGTCCTGGTCTTAGCTTCAGTGCCCCCCAGGCGTGCTGGATTACTGGGTGGGGGTCTCTCTATGAGGGCGGTAAGAAAGTGCTGGTTTACAAGGTTTCTTTTAACCATTTCACAGCATTGCTAGTTTGGAGTCGTTCAGAAACAGGGAACCCAATTCGTCAAAATTAACTTTTGATTTTCTTATTTTTTCTTTGTCCTTCTTTTCTTGAATACTTTGAAGAGAGCTTCCTGTTGTTAGCTTTCCGTTTCCTTCAGTGTTGACAGACAAATAACAATACGGGCGTCACACATTATGAGACTCATACTCTGGCCTGTATGGCCTAATGTTGGTACTCTGCCTACATCTGTTTGGTTTTCAAGCAAACCATAAATGCACAGAATTTGAAATAAGACTGTTTGTCGCATAATGGTGGTACAGTGATTAGCACTTTGTTTCCTGTCCCCGGCTCTGTGTCCGGCTGCAGTTCCCCTGGTCTCCTGGCTTCTGTGGGATTGCTGTAGGTCAGTGTTTCCTCAGTGACCCCCAGAGAGTCCACATTTTTGGTCTCTCCCAGCTCCCAACACACCCGTACCAGGTATTCGATGTTCTTGATTGGTTGGGAGCTGAGTGGGAGCAAAGATGTGAAACACTGCACTAGGTACCCTGATCCCTTCCCCCAGGCCATAAACAAGCAGATGTAGCTTTCGATCCAGTTGACTGAATGCAAATGTATGCTGCATGTTCAGCTGACCCATCCAGTTGTCCCTGCCTTGTGCTTTGTACTTCCTGTTATATGATCCAGTACTGAGTAAGTAGTTAAGGAAGATGGATGAACAGTGACGTTGTTTGTAATGCCTTTCATATTACTCTAACCCTCTATTTCAGGGGAAGTCTCACAGAATCTAATGGAGGCTGAGATCTCGCTAATAGACAGGACAACCTGCAACCAACCAAGTATATACGGCGGAGTGATCACAGATACTATGATCTGTGCTGGTTATCTGGATGGTGGAGTGGATAGCTGTCAGGTAATGTGATGCATAGATGGCGTGGTAGTTTGTGCTTGTTGTGCGTTGATACGAAATCTTTTTATTTTTGGAATCCGCCTCAGCCACACAGAACCAGAGCAGTTTAACTGGTATTCCTTGTAGCTCGTCAATGGGAGTCGCAACTTTAAGAACCAAGTCTGTGTTCTCAGGCGTGAGTCTTCACCCAGCTAATGACAATACATTTTGACTCATCCTGTTTATGGCCTTATAATCAGCATCATATTGTGAGTACAAGTCAGCACCTTTCAGCCCACAGATGCCTATGCATTGCTACACACATGTACAAAGCATATCCTAAAAAATGCAACACGGACCCATCGCCAATGGAAAAATGGGCTTGGCTATAAAATATCTGGACAACGTACATCATATTGCATATTCCTGTCATTGAGTGTATTTATTAACGAGATGACTTATTGTGTGAACTATTCTCCTGCTGGCATCGTCATTGTTGACACTAGTCAGTGGGTGGTCCGTCAAGAAATACCTGCTTGTTATGCTGTTATAGCTCAACTACATGGTTTTGTTCCCAGATGTGATGAAAGCTGTATCTCATATGCAAAATTATAAGTAGTAACAACTTAAAGTTGTCTTAAGAGGACAAGACAACCAAGTTTTACCAACCACCCCAATGCCTTTTGATGTAGCTAATTTTAGGTTTATAATGGAATAATATAGATTTGCCGTAAGATTTCTTGCATGAGCGTGAGAGTCAGAAGCCATGAGTGTCACACCTGTGAGAGTTGGCAGCCCCCGCATATAGCTGGTTTGTTGATATATAAGATGCCTCCCATGTTCAACCTGCCTGATTTCTTCTTCATTTTCCCAGAGGTCCACTTTTTTTGTGTCTTTTTATTTATTTATTTATTTATTTTTTTTAACGAAAGTCATTTTTTTCACTCTCAAACCGTAACTGTGGCCCTTTGTTTATGTGTCTCAGGGGGACAGCGGGGGTCCTCTGGTAGCGCAGGAAAACTCTCGGTGGTGGCTGGTGGGGGACACCAGCTGGGGCGCTGGGTGTGCCATGGCGGAAAAGCCCGGAGTGTACGGAAATGTCACCTCCTTCCTCGGCTGGATATATGAGCAAATGAAGGTGAAATGCTTTTTCTTTGTCTCTGTGAAATCAATATGCCACACCTTTTTATCTCAGATATACGCACGTATCCACCGATGAGCCAAAACATCATGACCAGCCGTACCCAAAGCGAATAATGTTGACTATCTCGTAAAAACAGTGCATGTCACGGTCAGGGGTATATTAGACGGTAAGCTAACGTTCAGCTTTCGTAAATGACGTAGTAGACAAGGTACCAGATGGAATAGCCTTCGTTCATATCCTGCATCAAAAAATCTTGGCTTCCCAACACCTGGTCGGTGGATCGTGGTTTTTCCCTCCTCAGACCACTCTCAGGAGGTCCTCACCAAGGCCTCCTCAGACCACTCTCAGGAGGTCCTCACCAAGGCCTCCTCAGACCACTCTCAGGAGGTCCTCACCACGGCCTCCTCAGACCACTCTCAGGAGGTCCTCACCACGGCTGGAGCCCACACGCCTTGTCCGTTCGGAGATGTTCTGACCCGATCACCTGGCCATAATGATTCGGCTCTTGTCAAAGTGACACAGATCTTTATCCCTGTCCATTTCTTCTACATTCAACATGTTGACTATGAGTACCGAATGATAGCTTTCCGTCTAATATATCCCAGACCTTAACGTACACTGTATTTACTAGATAGTCAACATTACTCACCTCTCATGGAGGTGGTCATAATGTATTGGCTTATCTGTGTATTTATGATATTTAATAGCATGTACAATATAATTGCTGTATAAATGTATAGCCTTGAAAACATGTATCCTTTTTTCTTTTTTTCTTCCAGAAATATAAATGAAGAATCTGTTGCTTGCACTTTATAGCATTATACTGTACACAGGAAAAATTATCTCAGTTATATAGTCTTTCAGATATTTGGCAGTGTCATTGAATTCATATGTACAATCGTCCTTTGGTACTAGATTGGTTCTAGGACTCCCCAGAACCCAGAATCTGTGGATGCTGAAGTGCCTTATATGAAATGGCATAGTATTTGCATATAACCTACGCACATCCTCCTTTATATTTTAAGTTTAAATCATCTCTAGATTACTTATAGTACCTAAAATAAGATAATTTTAAATGATCCCTTCAGGGGCTCCGTAGAATATACATTTGTGTAATGCAAAATTTACAGTCTGATCTCATGTTATTAACACAAATGAGTTTTCCTACCAAAGTTGGAAAAATTAGTACAATGAGTACAAGTTTACAGTTTCATAACTACATAGTTCTGTGACCCTGGACTGGATAAGTGGCTGGATGAATAATTTTGTAACAAAAGGGCAGAAATGTGTGATATTATGAGAGGGACTTTATTGACTCCAGGGGGGGAAATCTTATGCATACAGCAGCAAGGGACAATCAAGCAAGTGCTGACAAACAAAACAAGACTGGTTTTGCTAACTTGACCCTCAAGAACAATCTTGAGGCGCAATGAATCATGGGATTGGTATCATTCGTCGAGGATGCGACCCACGTATCCTTGATATTTGGAGAGGGGCAAGAACAACATCTGGGATTTTCTTTCCTCTGTGCTTCTGTTCTTGGGTATTGGAACTGGTCTTCAGCAATGGCGGATGACGTAAAACGGGTCAGCGAGAACGCGAGTACGGTCGAGTACACATACTGAGAAACACCCTTGGTTTTGGAGGAATTACTGGTTACTGAGAAACCCTCCCAGGCTTCCAAAGGCTTGCAGTACTTTAATTTCCCACAAATATCGATGAACAGAAATGTCTGCACTCTTCAGTACATGGAGAATTGTGGTTAGGTCACGTCAAATTTGTGTCCTGTCGCCTTCGACTTAAACGCTTTCAGCGCAAGAGTAGGTGTTCCTCTTTCTAATATTCAACTATTACCCAAAAAAAAATAATTCACAATTTTCAACCAATGTAATGCCAGAAAATATTTGTCAGTGGGAAAAAAAGAAATGTAAGATTTTGGATCGGGCCTCACAGAAGTATCCTTAGCAAACACTAAACAAAGACTACTGCAGAGTTTTGAACAGGCATGGAAACCAGCAATGAAAAATCTGTCAGCTTGGGAGTTGCTTCTGTCTTGAGTGACGTTACGTGTACAGATTTATGTAATATATTTAAATATTAAAAATATGTGTAATTAAAAGCAATGTGTTTTCCCCCAGGTAGATTATTGTTGTGAACTACTTACCATTAATATCCAAACAATGAATTGTGCCCACATTTTGATATTTGAGGATCATGCAGTACAGTAAGTTAATTGTTTTGAAGCTTTCAGGAAGAAGTGGTGCCTGTGAGTTATTCTTAATGGTCAGGTGTCATAGAAGCTGAATCTGGTTTTTCTTGTGGAGATTTCAAGAGACTCATTGAGCAGGTGATTAGTTCAGCATAAAATCACTATACAATTATAGCTGTAACCCAGATGAACGGTATACCTCATCATATAACAATTTATATATTTATTTATATATAAATGAATATTAAGCCCAATATAAAATGTACAGTTCGCTGTGGGTCTAGGATGTTGCTTTCTGATAAGTTGTCAGGAGTGTCTCAAGCTTGTGGATGTTTCTGTACAAATGCAAAATGTGAAAATTTGGAATAAACATTTTTGTTTTCAGCAAATTGAAATGAATGAATAAGTCTCTCGCAGGAAAAACAGCTGATTGACTTCAGTGAGGCATTTAACTGTGAAAATGCATCGCTTTATTCTTTCAAAGTCATTTATCAGATTTACTAGAAGTTTCAGTTCACAGCCACTATATTAGGTAAACCATGCAACCATAACACAAAAGGACATGAATTTGCAAACACTATCCCTTGACTACCTTAAAAATGGAATTGCACAATAGTACAAACATTTCTTAACCTTCATTTTGGTACAACAAAGTACAAACATCACAGCAGAATGATACACAGCAATGGGGAGAAAAGATTAAACTACGGAAAAGGTATGAATGACAGGAAGGCAGCTAATCAGTTATGGTTACTTCAGTCAGGAAAATACGATTAAATCTATTACTGGGAATAAGCTATGGAAAATCTGACATTATAAACATTGACTATTTTACAAATGCACCTTTAAATATCAATCTGGCTATGGATGCACTGAACAGTACGGTAAGGCAATTCAAAAGAAGGCTTCTCCTGTTTAGATTCAAGTTTTGCTAATTTCCTGCATTTGAAATTATGGTCTGCAGGCGGAATTACAGAAACCGCGACAGTGAAAGCTCACACATGATCATCTTGTGGAAAACAGACATCACTGGCGGAGGTGATGCATGAGAATTTACAGTGGCCTGATGTCATACATTCAATAGCATAACTTAATACATTCTATTAAAACACTATAGTGTCATTAACAGACAATTAGGAACTTAAACAGTTCTGTGGTTACATGATCCGGTGGCCTAATAACTACTGCGAGTCCTTTGAGGACCAAATAGAAAAGTGCAAATTCTGGCTTTGGATTTAAGCTGTGATGTAATGTTTGGCTTTTTCTACAATGACAAGCCAGTTCATACGCAATTCAAAAGCTACAAGTACCAGCAAGTTTACAATCAGAGTTCAGAGCCAGCAGTCGTCCCGCTCACACCCCATTCCTTCAATATTTTTTATTTAAGTTTTCAGTTCTGTTGGTGGGATGCATCTTTTATATACACACACGCATACATTATATATTACATATCCATATTGGGTACATCCTACTACAAATTTCCAAACACTCATTCAATTATTCTATGGCTTTTGGTCTTACAGACAATATGTTCTCTTTTAATAGAATCGTACGCTGCCGGACATAGAAATCTGTTTTAACACACTGATTCAGTTACAGTGAGCAGGTATTCGCAACAGTCAGTAAGCATTTAGACAATGAGACACCAGCAAAGAGCTAACAAGCAGCATTCAGGCGCGCACTCCATTTTAAGTAGCTGTAAAGATAAATGCTAGGTTAAAGCACCATAATCCAGTTTTTAAACTTCCACAAACCACGATGAATAAAGTAGAAAATAGGGAATCATTTCCAGATATTTGCATACGTATAAATGAGGATCTGTCTGAACATGGGCTAATGGTCATCACTAGATGTCAATGCCACGGTCTCTATGCCTCTCAAGATAATGAAGACAAGGGAAGTGAGGCTTTGAGCTCCAAGCTGGGTGTGATCTATCCTGGCTCACTGCTTGGTTTAACTTAAAGGAACTAAAAAAAAAAAGCAATTTGTGATAAGTGGGTTAAATTACATCTGAACTCCCGCATAGCAATTCCTACTTAAAAAGAAATTAAAGTTTCTAACAGCCAAAAACGAAACAACTGCTAATGATGTCATAATTTTCCCATTCTTAATGTAATAAGTCGATAATGTAATAAAATTTCTCAATCAGAAACATAACTTATTACATTATGCACAAAAGGTTATTACATTATTAGCTGGGTTAGCAGTCAGTAATGTAATAACTACCATTAATGTATTTTTAAATTGATACGTCATTGGCTGCTATAAACTAACATGGTAGTGTTCCAGAGATGAGTTAAATCAGCTGGTGCCGGTGCACAATACCCCTACCCATGGTGGATTCTGAAGCCTCAATTCTCCCCTCATGTCTTTTGAAATGTCCAACCTAGAGTAAGTAATTAGCCTCTAATAACCAGGCCAGATTGCTCTACTAAAATATTCAGATTTCGCTTCAAATTCTTTACAGTTACATTCAACACATGGGCCATGTATATATGGTATGCATGCATAGGCGCATATATTAGCATAAATTTGCATAAGTTTAAGGATGTTCTACATATATAGGGACGGATACTTGGGAGGAGCAACCGAGGAGTGTAAAAATGGTGGCTGTGGTTTAGTGCAAATGTCATCCGTGATCTGGGCTCCGTCATTCCCTGGACTTCACTTAATGCGGTTGCGAATGAGCGAGGACTCGTCGTTGATCTCGGCCCGGTGACCGCTGCCACGGTGACAGCGGCACGGCAGCGCCATGATCAGGAGCAGGACGAGTAAGACCAGGGTGCAGATGGCCATCACAGAGTAGGAGATCACCCACAGCAGGCGCTCCCGCAGCAGGGAGCCACCCAGGCAATCTGACGACACGTCCGACGCCACGAACGGGCCCGTGATCTCTGACAGCAACAGACCGCTACTCTCTGGGGAAAGACGGCAGAAAGTGGTATAAGGTCAAACTTCCTGAAATGATATTTAATTGTTTTTGGATGCAAAACGAGCGGCACATTGGCTCAGTCGATAACACTACTGCTTCACACCTCCAAGGCAACAGGTTTGAATCCCACCTCCTCTATGTGTATAGACTTTAAATACCCCCCCGTCCCCCATTGTGTGGGTTTGATCCAAGTACTCTGGTTAACTGGCATCTTTAAATTGCCCGTTTTGTGTACGTGTACATTCCGACATCCTGTCCAGGGTGTGTCCCAGTCTTGTGCCATATGCTGGCTGGAATAGGCTCCAAGCTCCCCCCCCCCCCTCCCAATCATGTGGTTAAACATAAATGGATGAATGCGACTTTCAGGAACCCCCTCAGCCCAATAACTCAACACAATGGAGTTTACCAAAGATTGCAAGAGTCTCAGGTCGTTCCTTGTGTAGGGATTGGGGGTAACACATTACTCCAGTACTGTTTACATAATTTGTTGATATTTTAAATATAATGTGTTCCACTTGAAACACTGGGACTTTTCATACTGTTGACAAGGATTACCTAAACACTAAAGTTTGAAAATTTCATGTTCTTTCTGTCGACCAACACCAAAGACTACACCTAAATGCTCTTACCACTGGTACAAAGGGTTTAGACTCTTATGTGGACACAGGGATTAAGCTGGACTGCTTCCCTGTAGGCCAGTCTTACCTGCACACGTGCTCACTGCAAAGCCCACCCTCTTCTGGGCTCTGTCGAAGATGACATAGAAGCCCTCCATGATGGTGGCTCCAATCACCAGGCCACTAGCGGAGGGGGAAATGCCGAAGCGATAGCAGTCCAAGGTGTCGTAGAGGTCCTCGATGGGCTGGATATACAACTGCAGCCAAACACAAAAATCCACGTTCTACTTTTGCTCATATGATGCTGATAAAACTAAGACGTGATCACCCTCTAGTGGCTGAGCTGGCAAACATCACTCGTGGCTACCTGGATAAATAGCCCGTCAAGTTATAGTAGCCATTTCCCTATCAGGACGGCAATCACCTGAGGCAGGATTGTGATGCGGAAGGACTGGCTGGCGTTGGTATCCCTCAAGTAGATTGAGAGTTTGGGGAAGAAGCGCCAAGGAGTCTCACCCTTCGGCCAACAAGCCAACTTCGTGTCGGTCCAGAAGCCTGCTGGGAAGTCCTGAATCTGTACAAGACAAAACCTTAAACAGTTTTGAGAAAGCAACGGGGGGGGGGAAACAAAAATCCACATTTTAAAAATAAATACATCGATGCATAATGCTGATGACCCTCTTTGCTTCTGCTTTGGTGAGTCCCATTATAAAAAGGCCTTGCTCTTATCTTCACAAAAGAGAGCTCCTGGACAGAGCTTCTACAACAGACAAGGCTGAGAGCACCCCAAAGAAAAATAGAGAAATGCTTTTATACCAAGGATGTCTGAACAATGGCGTCGATGACCGCAGCGAACACATTCTTCGGCAGACGCAAGAGAGTGGTTCCACTGTCAACAATCGCTTTATCCGAGTTGTACTGAAGGTGAAAGAAAAAGGGGGGAGGGAATTAAATAAATAATACATTGGTGTTTCTAGGCCTGTAGACACCCCAGTCAAGGTCTCAGTCAAACAAGAAAAAAAAGAGAGACTTGAATGGAAATTCCGTCATCAGAAGCTTAAAAACCCTCGTAAGCTTTTCATTGTTGAGAACCACAAAATTGGCTCATCCTCTAAATGCATTCGGTGGGAAGGCTTTTGCTCTCCACAAAGGCACAAGGACCGGAAAATAGAGACTCATTTGCCAAAACACTGATTAAATGTCCCAGCACTAAAACAATCTCCATGACCTTTCACGCACAGGTTCAGACATACTTCAGATTTCATGTGACCCTCAAAATGTGAATTCTTACAAGTGAGTGCCTTCTTTTTAACATACAAAATCTTACCTCCTTACAGTCGAGGTTTAAATTCTGGTCTCCAACTTCCAATTTCAATATTTCCACTTGGTAGTACCATTCTTCTTGTATAGGGGTGTACCAAATTGAGCCCTTGTAGAGAGTTGGTTCTATTCCACCCATGATCTGAGAAGGATGTAATTTTAGTTACAAGTCTCCAATGAGACTTTTTTCCTCCATCTCTCTCTGATGAACATCAGACAACTTGCCCACCTGTTTTTGTACTGGTTACATTGCTTCGAATCACAGTGACAGACCATCTCTACTTAATCTTAAGTAATCAGTTACTAAACAGACAGGTCACCATGGAAAGATAAGGCTTAATACTGCATTAAAATGCATCAAAGGTGTTGGTACTGCAGTAATAAAATGGGCTGGGGATACTTCTGGTAGACGTCCAATACAAAGTGGACAGGAAACTGCCTGATGATCTCAGCAGGTAAAATTTCTGAAAATAGTTCTCCAATCCCATGTTGGTTAGTTGACTTTTCATGCCATGCAAGAAGCTAGGGATATATTCATGGTGAAATCCAAGATACATAAAAATGTAAATAATGATTCAAAGTAAAAACCTGAGGGGGTAAAAATTTATAATACGGTTAGAAAATTCTAAATAAGGCGCTTAACATTCTATCAACTCCTTGTCAGTCTTCTAGATCCATTAGAGCACTCGATTATGGGAGAAAAAAAAAATCATAATCGTGATTATTCTGGTGAATACAGAGATCATGATTAACACGATTACTCTTTGTTCATTTATTGAACTTCAAAAAAGTGTCTAAGAATGGATTTCCTAGAATTGAGAAACAAATGAAAAGGGGTTGATAAGGGGATTTATAACACGGGAACATCACTGTGAAACGAAATGTACCACAATAATGGTTTTATCTTGATTATTTTGTTTTGATAGTTGTTGGAAGTTAAAATTGTAATTGAAATTAAAATCTGATTAATTCCCCAGCAATTTTATCAAGGTCCTTTTCGTTTTTAAGGCTCTAAACTCACTGCCAGGACTTACTAGGCTTCCTGCAGCTCGGTCCACGGTGGATCCAGCCGCAATTCCAGCCCCGCACATCTGGAGCGAGAACACATCTGGTATGCTTGTCTGTCGCACCAACGAGTCGAAAAAAGGCTCCACTGAACTGTCCGGCTGGAATAATGAAAAAGAGGGACGTCCCATTCAAACATCACCACCGTCCCACCTAAACACACCTGTGAGCGCGTTTTTATATCCTGTCCAGATTAAGAAGCTTTTTCCCAATTTTTTGAGGTGGAAACCTTTCCCATGGAAATAACCAGAGGTCATTTATACATGATAAAAAGATATAACAGAGTTACATCTTAGGCTAGACACCAAAGAACGTGTTAGCGTTCTATTAACTAAATAAAAGGTGAGTGCAAGGTGGCCAGGTGTGGTGAAATATTCAAGAACACCAGGAACAACACTCCTTGCGAGTTTCCTTCTCACCCAACAATGCAAACAACGCTGTTTGCAAAGAGCCAGAAGAATAACAGCGACAAGATCCGTGTTAAAGCAAATGGGCTGGCCGACGGTCTGTAAGCACCCTTCACCTAGAGCAAACGTGTTTGATGTCCAGCCTGAGCTTGCGTGCATATTTGCATTTTACACAAGACATTTACCTATGATAATGTTTAAACGGCTCGTTAGATGTTAACACTTCAAACAACCTGGCAAACCGGAAAAAAAAAAGATAAAAATAAAAATCACAACACTGATGTGTCATCAGCCGGTTCCCATTACCTGAGCCAGTATGGGGTACGCCAGTCCCAGAATGCCTTGCCAGTTAACACCAGGGATGAAGAAGCCATTGGAGGAGAGAATGGCTGCAATGTTGACTGTAATGGTGCCGTTTGGGCCTTTGGGGATGGAAACCTGCTCACTTCCAAGCTCCCCTTCCCAGTCTCCCTGGGTGTATTTTACGGTCACTGCTTTCCCAAGGGACTGGTAGGTAGTGGAGCTGAAGAAAAATAAAGAGTCACAGAACTTCACCTTAAAATCTCTCAAGTTGGCGGACGGAGAAACTGCATCACGTTGCGGAACGATCAACACAAACACATGGCGCCCGTGCCATATGCATAGCAGTGAAATCTAAAAGGCGGCATGGAGTGGCAGGGATTGAAATCCACGCAAGTGGCAGCATCTGGGACCAAAGGAAGCGGATGAACGGGCATCAAGATGGATCATCAAGACAAATGCTAAGTCGAATTTCTTTTAGCTGCGGTATTTATTCAGTTCTCCTCTCCACCCGAAAAAGGTCGTCTGTGACAGCATACCTAGTTTGTGGTTAAATAATCTATCTTCAAAGCAGACTATTTTTAAGCTGGGAAATGCGGGTGGTAGGAGGCATTTTGGGAAAGGCACTGAAACTGTGCTCACCTCATGCTGATGAAGTGGCGCGTGATGTCAGAATCGGGGGCTGCGGCCACAGCGAAGTTGCTGCTCCCGGTGTCCACGAGGATATTCAGCTGTAAAAGCAGACAGAGGGCGCTTTGTCACTCCAGTCGGCCACTGGGGCCGGCAGGCAGAGCCAACCAATGTTAGCCACAATTGATGGTTCAATGGAAGTCAGATAAACTAAATATTTTCTTGTAAACATGGAAAAACATGCTGAAGTACAGAGAACTAAATTAAACCAATGGTGCGCTTCTTCACCCTAAAATATCTTTATGACAAACAAAGAATTTGACAAACATCAGTTTTGGAGATATCTGGCTCATTTTAATTAAATATTGGAGTTATGTTCTCTCTAAAAAGATAAAAAAAAAAGCTAGAACAGTCTATTTCCATCCATCCAGTAATGTCTTATCCTGATCAGGGTTGTGGGCAGTCTATAATTCTAAAGGAATTAAATTATATAATGTAACCGTGATTATATCACATAAGGCCGAGATTTCAGCATAGTTTTCTTTTGATTTTTTAAATAATTTCCATGTCAACCTAAATGTCATTATATGAACTTGCTAGCATATTTAGAGTAAGCATGACACTGGAAGAAACAATTATTAATAAGCGGAAATCAACATGACATCATGAGGCCCACAAACCTGACTTATTTCATCAAGTAAACGAAAGGTAGATAAAACCGTAAATCTAGGAGTGTCTAGTATCTGCAGGACTACTAAGGAAGTGCTTTGAGTATTTACGGACCAGAAGGAACATCTGTCGACATCAAAAGCATCCGGAAAGTTGTGGCGCCAAAGTCTCCACTTGGGTCAGCGCATTGGCACACGTCCTGCCACTTTGTGCCCCCCCCCCCATGCCAGTGACGGCACTGCTGCATAGATACGGGTGCTAATGGGGCACACTGGCAGCGGCATCCAACTGCATCACATGGGGAGGCGGGAACTTTGAGAAACAGCCACCGGTGCTCTGCAGGAGCCTGGACTGAGCTGAAAGGCATTGCCCCCCCCCCCCCCCCCCCCCAACTCTGGAAAAGCCACAGCTTCGCCTCTTCCCCCGCGCTACGCTGGCGCGGCCGCCTAATCGCCCCTCGTTGAGCCTGCGTTGCTAATTGGCAGCCACTCAGTCATAAAGAATGCATCTGCTACCTGTTTGTACCAATTAGCAGATGTGAACCGCTCCAATGACACCTCAGCCTCCTCTATGGGTTAACAGATGTGGCAATTAGCGATTCATTTGAATACCGGCTCCTTTTAGCACGAGGGCCCTTAATTACATCATAGCCGGGGCCACATCTCCCCCCTCCCTTGCTGCCTCAGCGCTGTCGGGGAGCATGGGATGGGGGATGGGTTAGCGCTAGGCTGAGGGAGCCGGTCCCTTTGGCTGAGAACGCGCAGAGGATCCGGGGGCGGGTAGGGAAACAGGTGCTGGCGAGCTTCAGGAAGCCTAGACGAGGCCGAGCGGCAGCTTTGGGGGAAGCAGACATACATGAAAAGCGAGCTGTCATTTGGCTCAGACGAATCACCCATCGCCTGTCACCCACTAACAGCGCGAGTAAATACTACAGCAACTCCTTCCCAGCGTTAAATATACAAGCAAGATGTACAAGCAGCCGTTTTGAGCTGCATCGAGCCCCACAGCTGTCACACTCTTCCAACTCGATGTTCCGTCAATCAGCAACATTCAGTAGATTGATTTGTTCACTTATACATGAGGATTATTTTCATTTAAATATTAGAAGTCCATGTGTAGTACCGTGGTCTCACACCTGCAGGGCTGCAGATTTCATTCCTGTCTGGCCTGTGCGGCACATGTTTGCTGGTTATGATTTTGCCGTTGCCAGGTGACCTGTGGGTCCTGGGACAGACTCCAGATTTGCCATTGGACAGGTAAATAGGCAAAATAAATGGGAAAACCATGGACACAAACACACCCAGACATGCACACACACGACAACATCGGCCGTCAGCCTGTGCGGACTTGGACAATCGTGTCTGTGGCAAAAAAGGTTACGTTTTTACATACCACCACTAAGCAAAATGGGCTCTAATTAAAAAATATACATAAAACTCAAACTTCTTGATCTTAGTCACAAACATATTTCATTTATTAATTTATTTCTTTATTTGTCCACATGCTTGTTTCATCATTGCAAATCATTATTTTTTTTATGATTCATATATTCATATATATATATATATATATATATATATATATATATATATATATATATATATATATATTGAAAAATACTTATTTTTTTCTTTATTCTAATTGCTGTCTTTGTATTTTTACATTTAGATTTTTAGCTCTATGTCTCATTCGCTTAAGTCATGACACTACCTGTACCAAAAGAAATTCCTTTTACTTTTCTGTACTTGGCGAATAAATGATTTTGATTCAGATATATACAAAATATAGGATAAGGAGCTTAAAACTAATTATGGGTCATTTGCGCCGATCTTTGTCAGCTGACTGGATTAAGTCATCCTGGGGAGGCACGCCGGGCATCATGTGAGTTCATGTGAACCCCAGTGAATCGTGACTCCTGGGGGCTTAAAGGGACCCCAGTCCGTCTGCATCACGCGCTGAACACCTTCACCTTCCAGTATATGGTGGCAACTAAATGTCCAGTCTGAACAACAGGACGCTCTTCGGAAATCGAGATGCGTTTTTATTTAGTCCTTACAGAGGTGTTGAGTCGATAGAGATTTTTGGCCCCGTGAAAGCATATCATACTGGGGCCCCTAACCCGGACCAATCATATGATGTTACAAATTTTTTTAGGGCCCCTGTCGCTTAGTGGTCCTTGGAATCGCCCTAATTGCCCCCCTTACAGCACCCCAGAGTCCTTATACACGTAGTCTTGCACATATTTCCTGCAAAGATATAAGATTCATACTCTATATTGTACAATAACTACGGATTCATTCCCTGGATAGACCGTTTAGAATATGGAGTAACTGGTTTCTACAGAAATTAGAAAAATTATATGTTTTAAAGATCTAAAACATTTGAGGCCAAATAACAGTAATTAAACAAACAGTAGTAATTAATTAAAAACATAACCAAAGCCATCTGTCTCACATACTCTAATTACTGCACTGGCTTATTCACGCTAGGTAATATAAATAAATATAGCTAAATACAATTGTTAACTTACCGATTGGGGTGGAGTTCCTATTAACATCTCCATGTAATACCCTCGGCCAGAGTCTCCTTGTAAATTATTCAACATGTTTAGGAAGTGAACCACCCCGGCTGGACTGGACGCCAGAGAAAGTCCGTTTTCGGTGAGGTTTCTCTTCAAAGGGACCAAGTCCAACTCCGGCGACCAGTTAAACTGTCCGGCAAAAATTTTAATAGGGACAGCATAGTAGGACTGGGGCAGCCCGGTGTGAATAACGCATAAAAAACATCCAAGGAAAAGCGAATTGCATAGTTTTGCCATGGCAGGTATTTGCAATGGGAAGGTTGTGTGCCAGACAAGAAAAAGTTTAAGTCTTCAAATTCAGGTTTGAAGAATCAGTAATCCTACAAATTCCCACCTAGCCATCATTAGATTCAAGAAAATCATTAATCCATCATCACTATAGGAAATCAGCCCTTAAACCTGAGCCCGATAAAGTGTGAAGCCCAGCGGCTGCTACCGGGAACAGCGTCCGAAACTGCGGTCCCACAAAACGCTCCTTAATTATTTACTTTGCATAGAGGACTTCCTGAAAAGTTTGGAACGGATATGACGCTGATCCCAACTTATTTCCCAAGAAAGAGGTGGGAGTGTCTGCTGAAACCTCGGGACTGACTGCCGGTCCCGGCTTAAGGCACAGGGATGTAATGGCAAGTGATATTTTATAATAGCGCTTGATTTCAAAGTTTTACATATGAATCACCGCAAACGAGTCACTGTTCTTTCAAAATAATTCCCAATATAATGATGTTTAAATATCAGTTATTGAGGTCCTGATAGTTTTTCAGATGAGGTCCTTACAAAAATGATCCATTTGTCTACTTTTTCCACTGTTGGTACCGTATGTCCAGATGTGCCACTCCTTGTTCTTTTAGACAGAATAGATTTCGTATTTGTCCATAGCTGCATGTAAAGGAAAAGCAGTGAAATTAAGGGGGGGTGTAGGGCTTCTTGTCACACGTTCCTTATATAACCAAGCCTTGTGTGTTCAATATGCCCCCCCCCCCCTTTCACCCTGTGGTAGCAAATTCCCCTCCACAGCGGCCAATAAACGGGCTTTGTGAGACACGGAGGGATCGGCCCCAGGGCTCACCCACATGACTCTCTGATTAGGTCAGATAGGGCTGCTGTCGTGCTGTCGTGTTGGGGGGAGGTAAGCAAAACTGAGTAATAATAAAATCACCTGCATGCAACACTACTTTGCAGCCTATGGAAACCAAGTGAGGGAGACAGTATCAAAGTGCAAATGAATGAGAATTTCAGGCATCTGCCGTCCGAAAGAATTGGATCTACTCTTGTTTTAAGAGACAGACAGACTATTTAGAATATAATTCCCAAGGTTCTTGTGTCATTTAAAATGTTGACTCTAAGGGCAATCCCGTATTTCCTCTCTCAGTTGCCCGTTACACTTTTCATAACACTGGTCCTTGTAAATCCACATCTCTTACAGTGTGATGTTTGGACAAGGGCCAGAATATCATTTTAATAGCATGATTAATGCCTATCATTAGTACTCAGGGTCCCTACAGAATGCAGTATGAGATTTCATTAGGCTTAATTGTTACATAGAAAATTATAAGGCAAAAGTAACCATCATGGATTTCAATATTTGCTTAATTCTTCAACATGTGATATATCGGAGAAAACTCAATACTAGTTTAAATAGTACAGTGTAGCAGAATTTTCCTCTGTTGTGAGTGCTGTAATAAATTATGAAGGGTATTGGCGTCTGTGAATCTGTTACTGAGGCATATTTACGTTTTGTTGTTGCAGTGTCATAGAAAACCAGTAGAGGGCATCGTAGTCTTTTCCTCATGCAGTAACGTGCCATGACACGCCAGAGAGCGAATTAGCCAGATTAGCAGAGCAAACTCCTCACAGTTTGCTGGGCAAATCTGCTTTCCGAGAACAGGGCTCCGTAATCTTTACAGAGCTCTGCTCAATATGGCGACAGGCAGGACGATGGCGGAGCATAGAACAAGGAGACCCTCCATTCGATGTGTGGCAGGCGGCCAAGCTAAAGCTTTCCGATCCCCCCTCCATCACCCCAAGTTATGCACATTTTATCCTTGTTTTTTTTGTCTTGCAAATGTGGTGCTTTTAATATATTTTAAATAACTTTAGAGGACATTGATTTCAAAGAATTGCGCAATAATTCCAGAAAAAAAATCTTATCTAATTAAAATCTAGAATTAAGATTTTAACATACAGATTTTAAAATATTACTCTGTTCTTTCTTGGACTGGATAGAGGGCAATATGATCTCAATCTTTAGAAATGTAGATGCTTGTAACGTTGTTATTTTTTGAAACACCGGTAGAAATTTTGATTTTAACAATCAATATGTCAAATGACAAGTATTTATAAAAGGTCTTCTAGTATTAATAGATTCTTAGTTTGAAACCAAGGGAAATGCAGTAAGATCATTTTCCTTGCTATTTGTGTCATTTCTGTATGTTCCTCAAAAAATGCCTTCTAGATATCTTAGCTGACAACAAACTTAACACCATACTTCGGACAAAGTGCTGGTTTAATTGCTCAGTCACTTCAGGGTAATCTTCTTGTACGTTAAGCATTCAATCCAGACCAGAAGCTCCCAGATCTGTCTCCTGTCACATGACAAAAGACGGGGCCAATCTTCCACATAGAAGGATGCCAGGTGGGTTCTATCATGCTTCCTTGCTGTGATGCGAGGAGAAGGTCGATCTAACAGCATCATGTGAAGAGCCTGTGCTCCCCCCCCCCCAACTCACTGGCCTTGAGGCTGCCCACCTGTCGTGGAGCAACTCTCTGCACAGCGCTGTAATCACCAGCCCTTGTACTGGTAGAATTACTGGGACATCTCTAAGTACATAATGCTTGTCTTAGACACTGTGCATCTGTTGACATTTCCACATGATACTGGATACTGTGTAATTAGCCAATAAACAGCCGAGCTAGGAGGGACAGGCTATCTGGGATTAAGGGATGTACCGTAATAACCTGACCACATGTTTCTGCTGCAAATCTTATTCTCTGTCCTTGTGTAGCCTAAGATCTTTTTTTAGGGGCTGGTATTGTTAGCCTGTGCAGAAATGCAGACCTCGGGCAGACACGTTGGATTCCCCTAGTGGCAGACAGCAGTACATCAAGAGTCAGAGCATGTGCTCAGTCATCCAAAAGTCCTGTTTCCGTTCTCCCATCTTACAGTCCCCTCTCTCCGCTGTGTGCCTTCATTTCTTAATTTGCCTTATTCATCTGAATGTTTATGGATTCTCTCTAGGGGCTCTCGCTCTGAGAGATGTTGGATTGGACAACCCAGTGCAAAGAATTTATCTTACCTATGCTTACTTTAAGACTATGTTTGGTATGTAACCTTGAAAACAACTGGTTAACTTCCCCAAGATCTTTATAAAGAGTAACACTTAGGGACATTTTCTGTTTCTTCCTGTCCAGATATTCTATGCTGTAACCTTTTGTACTGTCATATGTATTGCTTGTTGTTATATATATATATTCTTCATTTAAACTTGTATTACATTTTGCATTTACTTTATTTCACAGATACTATGGTCCGAAGTGTCACGCACATATATACTGTAGCACATTACAAACGTACGTCTGTCCCATAGGCCTATGTGTGGCTAGACTGACCTTCCAATGAATCACCAGTTACTCATGTAAGCAGCAGAGTAAGTGTTACGCAACATCGTCCAAATAAAGCAAGATCCTAATAAAACAGTTATTTAAATTAACAGGGAGTGTAACGTTAAATACATTCAGGGAACACAGAATGGTACAGTATAGGCCAGTTTTTGTATTCAATATATTTCGATATATATATTATGAATATGCTGAGACTTGCTATTTAGACTGCCCATTTGCTCACACTTGCAGTGACTTAAATAAAAATAGAGCTTTTCCTAAAATAAATGTGTTTTCACACAGTTGAAGAATAAGCAGCAGAAGAATCCCTACTCATCCTGTCCAATCCAAACCTGGAGTACAGCCCTTTAAGTATAGTAAAGATATGCATTTCATTTGAAAGATGTTGTTTTTATATGGGAAACTGGTAATACATGTATACCAATTAAGGATTTGAATTTCCATCAAAAGGCCGTTGGATCAAGATCCAAGAAAACTGGAGAATCTTGCGACAAGGTACTTAACCAAAATAGTTCCAGTAAAAATATCCGGATGTATGAGTGGATCGGAACTTGCATATTGCTCAGGACATTGCTCAGGAATAAACATAAATATTTTAGGAAACTTTCAGTGACTCACAGATCCGGTGTGTGTAGAACTGTGAACATATACCTGTATGGTCAGGCGTTTAAATCCCGTCCCTGTTCTGTACGTGCGGAGTTTGCCTGTTCTTTCCATGTTTGTGGAGATTTCCACCAGGTTCTGAGTAAATTGAACTGTCAAACTAGCCCATTGTGTGTGTGAGTGTGTGCCCTGTGACAGACTTGCATGCTATCCCGGGTGTTCTTCTGCCTTGTACCCTTTAATAGTCCAGAATATGGATGGATGGATTACTCACCGGTGCCAAGTCTGCTTATGCCAGTGCCAGGCTCTGTTTAATGGTGACAAGACACGCACATTATATTTGTGCCACAACCCGTGCCACGAGAAGCCCATTCGCTGCATCCTGGCGCCTGTCCCTCCTATGCACAGAATGCCGGAGCGGAGCACGACCGACCACTAGGAGGAAATCTTGAAATAAAATCAGCCTGGAGCGATTTACTGCTTTGTCTTACTTAAAAGGTGTTGAAAGCGACTGGTTTTGGTTCAACAGCTTTCCATATGGCTTCTCACCAATCGACGGTTCATCACTGCTGTAATATAAGTACTAAATGACGCGTTCTGGCGTGTTGATGAGGTAAAACAACAGTCCTTGTTTGGCTGGACCTTTGTGCAGCCTATGATACTGTTGACCATAAAATACTACTAGAGTGATTGGAAAACGGGGCAGGGCTATCCAGAACAGTCTTTAGGTGATTCAGGATTTAGGGCAGTTGTTTATCACTATTGGTAATTATAAATCTAAGTGAACTCCAATGGCCCAGCGATGAATTCTTGGGCCTCACTTGCTTAATTTTTATATGCTTCCATCAATATTTTCCATTCTAAAAAAGCAGTTTTCCGTCATAGTATACCTGAAAATGACACCCAGATTATTTATTTAGCCCTCGCATCTACTATATGACCACAGCAACTCACCATGTCAATGTCTGGTGAAAATGAACAGCTGGATGCTGATCTTTAAGTAATATTCTTAGTAAAAATCTTAGTTTCAATAGCCATATTAAAGAAATAATGAAATCGTTACCATTTTACCATCTGAATAATATAGCTAAATTCAGAGACTTTGTGTCTAGGAAACTCTTGGAGAAGTGTGTTCATGCCATTCTTTACCGTATGATGCATTACTGCAATGCTCTTCTGACCACCCTTCCAAAAAGGCCATTAGACAGCTGCCACTCTCTCAAAATGCTGCTGCTAGAATTTTAGCAAATACCAAGAAAAATCAACTCATTATTCTTTTTAAAATGACGGCACTGGCTCCCCTTAACTT